TTGCTGCTGTTGTTGTTGCTGCTGCATACGGAGTTGTTGACTAATTAACTGCTGTCTTAATATATCAAGCTGAGCCGGTTGAGGCTGAACAGCAGCAGCAGCCGCTGGATTAGCACCCATCATAACTGCATAACGTTCCAAAAACTGCTGGTGATCCATTTGCAAGCGCATTAAGTCCAAAGTCGTCGTAGCTGCTGCCGCTGAAGCTGCATGAGGTGCAGCAGCAGCCGCATTCAAATGTGCTGCTGCAGCAGACTGTCGAATGGCTTCCAACTTAAGGGAAAACGTTAACTTTCAATGTTGAGAATCTATTTCAAACAAAAAAAGAAAATAACAATCTTAAGGACAATTCCATTCTTCTTATTGATTCAAATTCTTAAAGTTAAACATTAAATTACTTCAGTCTTCAACCTTTGGAGCAAAAATCAAACATTTTTAAAATACCTAGACTACGAAGTCATTAAAAATTCAAAGAGAAAAGCACAAAAAACCAACTGATTGCATCTGCTGCAAAACCGACTGCATATTTGTTTCGAACATCCTCTGAGACGGGAACATTGCCTGCGCCTGTTGCAAAGAACCAGAAGCTACAGCTCCAGAAAGCGGATGTTGAAGTTGGGGTGTATTCAACAAGAATGGATTTGTTGACGCTGCTGTCGATAACGCTGCACCATGTTGCACATTCTGCTGAGCGCAAGCTGCGAGCATCGCAGCTTGCGCAGCTGCATCACTTGTACCATTTGTAATCGAGCCAGAGACGGGAAGAACAGAAGTGAGCGGCAAATTATGACCGAGTCCCGTATTATGCAATCCAGGAGCCAAACCCACTGTTGGTCCACCAATACCAGCAGGACCAAGTGGAGGATGTAATGCTGCAGGATTACCGTTTGAACTACGATTTGCTGTTGAAGGAGGTCGAGCTTGGGCAGGCTTCGGTGTGACACTACAAAAATCCAACTGAGGTTAACAGAACTCAGAAATTTCCTTTGCTCCTAACATATCCCTTTTGAAAAATATGATTCTTTAATGAAACCGAAATAAGGAGCACCTCTGCCTTGCTAACTTATTTGCTTCAGCAAACTGTTGATAAGAAAGTCCAGCAAATGGAGGCTGCAAACCACCTGTTGCAATCGCTGCCAGAGAGCCAGTAAACCCTGCTGCCAAACTTCTGAAACAACTGCTACTAAAGTTCCGCTAACAATACCAAAGTTACATCCTCATAAGTCTATACAAGAAAAGATACCCAGGCAAATTCGCTTGAGAAGTGGATGGAGGACAAAGTGGGGCGTTAATTGACGAAGACGCTCGAACTGCTCCAACTTGAGACTGAGACGTAGTGATTGAAGAATTCTGGGACGACGCTTGTCGTTCTCTATAAGCCACTGTATCGCAAGCAATTTTGACGTGCATCTTACACCACTTACCATACTTCCCCTAAAAATAAAGACATAAATTAAGGAAAAAAAAAAAGATATCACTTAAACAATCACCACCAAAAATATTGGAGCTGAAATAATCTTCTAGGAAGGAATTACTGGCTCCATAAAAGTTCTGATCATAATGAAGAAAATTCCAAGCAAACATAAAAATAATACCTTTAGTGAAGTACTAGGTTGCGACGGAGAAGGCGCTGGTGCCAGGGTTCGACAAAGAAAAGCAGCACCGGCAAGTTGCGAACCCAAAGGTGTACCAGAAGGAAACTGCAGATTGGCAGCCATTGCAGCAGCGGTAGAAACTGACGGCTGAACGGCAGTTAGTGCAGGTGAAGCTCCAACTGGTTGAGAAATACCACCTGGCTAAAACAACACAGATTAAGTTTTAAAAAACTGTAGTTTTATAACCAGAATAGTGGTAGCTTCCCATTCAAGAGAACAAAATTTGTGGTAAACAAAAAAAAATTTTTACCTGCTGAGGCTGTTGTTGCTGCTGCTGAGGCTGCTGCAGAAGAGCAAGAAACGGAAACGCAAGGTTTGAAGGCGTTGCACCGAATAGTGGATTTGCAAAGGCACTAGGTGGAGGTGCAACGCCGGCGGCAGCAGCGTTAGCCATAAATGCTTGACGTAACGGATCGAACAAAGCTGTTTGGGATAATCCAGTACGAACATCACTTGCTGAAGGCAAGCGACCCGAAATCATACCATTTGCTAGGCTAGACAATGATTGAGCATTTGATGACGTATTTACAAATAAAGTTCCACCACCAGAAGAAAATATTGGTGTATATGATGAAGAGCTTGGCGTAGCAGATGAAGATGCATTACAAGGTACACTAGGAGCAACCGAAGTTGATGGAGCATTATGCCCAGGATCCACAGGATGAGTTGCTGGAATAAGAAATATGAAACGATCAAAAATAAAGGAACATTTCTTAACTTCCAAATGGCAACATATAATAAGGATATAGGTAGAAACCTCAAATACCAAAACATATGAGGAAACAAATACAACGAGCTAGATGCCCTACTGTTCAAAATCCCATAAAATCCAAACAAACAAATATAAAAAACACAAACTTTCGACAGAAATAGTGGCTCCGCGTTGCTCAATACCCCCAGGCCTGGATAAAGCAATTGAGCTGTTCCACGAATTAATACCAGAAACAGAAGTTGTAGCCGTATCTGCAGTTAAACTGCCCACTGTCGTAGGACGAAGAGAACTTTGTGGTGAACCACCAAGCGCAGCGGAATGATCAGCTTTTACAGCAATGCCAATAACACCATTTCTAAATGTACTGACACTTATATGGTTGTCGGAGGAATAAAGAAATACTGAGAATTTTATACTTATAAAAGATGTGCTCGGAACAAAAAATATCGCACATTACCTATAATCTCCAAATGTGGGTTCTCGTTCAACTTTTTTGTCGCTAATAGAACTCTGCAACTCATGTATAGATTCAGCACGTCGTTTGAGCGAAACTCCTGACATAGAGGGGGACACATTCATAGCAGTCCTGCTTTCATCCATCCAAGGATGTGACACAGTTGCGGCCGTTCCTGTTGGCGCCGTTAACGCACTCGTCGACGACGCTCCCAGAGGCGTAATGACCTCTGAATTTGCTTTTGGCTGTCGCTGAAAATTAGATAAATCAATATAAAAATTTCACTGGAAATCGACTTTTCGCATCAAAATTTATTTTAAACCTAGGAATCTTGATTCCAATTAGGAATTATTAAAAAGAATTGAATACAAGAATAAAACCCCAGCACAAATTCCTACTCCCCAATTTTAAAGATAACGTCACTTGTAATATGAAGCACAAGATGTGATTTAGAAATATAATGCTAAAAATTAATGGGGGAGAAAACTGCAATCAACTTTACAACAACACAACAATCACATTCTTTAAAGTACAAATTCTGAAGAGGAAAAAAATCGTTCGATGATGACGCTTCCAACCGAGCCAGTGGCATTTCTCGCCGACTTCACCAAAATGTGTTTTTGCTAATAAATCAGTTATTTTTTAATTGAACGTATTCCTTCAGCAACAATAACAGAAAAAAATTAAGAGTTGCAAAATCGCTATTCCCTTCTTCTTTCTTCTTCCTTAACTACCAATCAATCCCGATATATTCAAAAAAACTCAAGAAATAAGAAAATGTAAATTGCGCCAAAAAAATTCTTCAACATGTCTTTAACAAATGGATTGAAAAATCAGACCTATTTCAATGAATTAAAGAAGCCAAACAGGCGAAAAAAATGACTAAATGAGTGAGATGAACATAAAAAAAGAAAGGCACGACCCCTCTCATCTCCCACATGTATCCTCATCAAAAAAAAAACAGCAAAAAAACCTACAACATAAACTGAATGAAACCAAAACTAATAATTTTTGGTTAGAACGTTTAAAAACTTAATAATTTTTACAGGTTTCAGCTGCTGTAACCAAAGCATCTACGACATCAAACGAGCTAAAAAACATCAGCGCCAGGACTTAGTGGCAATAATTCAAATTAACAAATCTAAAAAATGGGCGGCTTAACATAGAAGTACATGACCCTCTGTACCTCAAAATAAAAGAATAAACAAAAGTTGCCGTAGGAAGAAGAATGCAATACAAATCTACTTACAGGCTAAGCCATTCAGGATCATTAAACAATTACTCGCTCCCAGTAAATTGGAAGAAACAAATTATGCAAGTAACTTTTCCACAAACTCCTCGTAAAAGCTACTAAATAATTCAGTCCCTTCTTCGTTCAATACCACTTTTAGAATACACTCTCCACTAAACCCCTAATAATCGCAGCTATTTCTCCCTTCTAATTCGCAACATTGTTTCATTTTTTGAACTTCCCAGTGGTTAGAAACTTTCTTCCAATTGAAAATGCGAACTGAAACATTTCTGAAAAATAACCAAGAAGACATCAATACATTAGCCATCGTCAAATGACCACATTTTCTAACAATGTGCAAAAGCTGGAGAGGCAAAAATGTTACAAAACTTTATTGTAAAAACCGTCAGCTGCCTTTGTTTAACTCATCAATTTTGATTTTAAACATCTCCAAAAATCAGAACATAACTCAGGGAAATATTGAAATGAACTCAGACCAGTAAAGTGAGGACCACTGGTCCTTGAAAACTAAGTAATTATGAAGAAAAAGTTGTTCACACAAAAATGTACACCCAAACTTCATCAGCAAACAGGAACTGACGCTCGCTCATTCAAGACACTTTCTTGACAATTTATAAATGTCAAAAAAAAAAAAAAAAAAAAAAAAAAAAAAA